GTTATGGTTCAAATATTGTTAACAACATAAAAATACTTCATCCCTAAAAATCATTTAAATTCTTCTTTACCACATTTAGTTGTTTTTCATCAGACACCACCATTTTTTAAAAAGTGCAATTACTTTGCAGAAGGTCTGGAAGACCAGTCTTAAAGAGGAAATACTGCGGTTGTTTCAAAAGGACATTTGCTAAACTTTCAAATTGGTGTTAAATTTTTATAGCTGCCCTAACACCCTCTTACTTATAACCATCTACTGACTTATGAAATGGAGAGGAAGATAAATGTTTTCTAAAGCTTTATTATGAAAAATTTCCAACATGCACAAAAGTAGAGAGAATAATATAATGAACTTCCATGGACCCAAAACTCAGCTTCAACAATTGTCAATATTTTGTCAATTCTGTCTCATTTGTTTCTCTCCAATTAAACATTTTGCTACCTGGAAATGGAGCACACCTTTGCTTTTGAGTTTGAAAGCACTGGTAGAAACAAAAAATGTCCACATGACTTTCTAGCATTATCTTTTATAAGTAAATAATGAAATTTTTAAAAATGTCATTGACATATGATTTTTTCCTACTTTCAGATGGTACAATAAGAGTATCAGCCGAGACAAAGCTGAAAAACTTCTTTTGGACACAGTAAGTCTCCTTAACCTGTCTTTCGACTTAAAATAAAATGAGTTGTACTGTTTTTTCTGCCATGCTGTGGTTTATGCCAATGCAGTGGGTTGACATAGTGGATTAATAATGGTTTTCGTGTCTGATGAAAATATTCTAGGGGTTTATAGGACTAGCAAACCATAGGATAAGAAACCTGGGGAGGCCTTGGTATTGACATGCAACCACCACCACAGCTGCAGTGGTCTTTACTGGTTGTGATGGCTGACCCCAGAGAGACATCAGGGCTCATCTGCCAGGCTTACTTCTCTGTCTACATTAGGTTGGCTGTAACTCAGCTTTTGCCTGGGTTGGTTCAGAGGAAATATGGCACTTGTTTTAACTTATTTTTAATCAACAGTTGTTCTATTTTTTTTCTAAAGCCATGCAGTATGAACCCTAGGACTGATCTAACCCAGGGATGTCAGGATTATTAAGGGAGAGAAGGGTTCAGAGGAAATATGGCACTTGTTTTAACTTATTTTTAATCAACAGTTGTTCTATTTTTTTCTAAAGCCATGCAGTATGAACCCTAGGACTGATCTAACCCAGGGATGTCAGGATTATTAAGGTGGAGAAGTATGAGAAGAGAGAAATCATGGTATGATGGGACAAATGCTGAATTCTGGTCCCCTTTCTGTCACCAACTCAGTGAGTGACTTTAAGGACATCTCTTCTTCCCTTTGGGCCTCAGTTTCTCAATGAGTATGAAATGAGCATTGAACTAAATCAGGGATGACAATTACCCGGCACTCATATGGCCACTCTGCTCCTGGTCCCATGGCCAACACAGCTGACCACAGTCCATGGCGTTGGGACTCTGTTGGGAAACCAGACAAACTCTGAAGAAAGAAAAGATAATCTAAGGTAAACTCAAAAGAAGTTGGGAAAGATTTCATAGAGGAAGAGGAATTGAGCTGAGTCGTTACTGGACCCTGGTTTTTCTTTGGTTCTACATCAAGCACTTAATCATATCCTGGGGTTCCCAATGGGTCACACATTAGAACTTCTGGGAAACATTTAAAGATACAGATTCCCAGGGCCCACTCCAGATCTACAGAATCAGAATCTCCACTTAGTTCTCAGGAATCTGTATTTTCTCAAGTTGCATGTGTCGCCAGTGCAGCGCCTGGTCCCCCAGCCTGTGTTATTGGATAACATAGCAAACTTGAATAATAAGAACTAATAGACAGGAGTGCAAAATTAATTAAAAATCTGAACTATACTGTGTTTAAACAAGCGCAGTTATATTTTCAATCACACGTTGGTTAATGAAGTCTGTGGAGCACTAAAACAGCCCACATTAATGATTCCTGTTTTACAGCAGTTCTTTTGGGGCATATTTTACTTGCTTAGGCAGTTGAAACATTCCTCTTTCCTAATATTTTGATCTATTTTACCAATCCTCATCTCCCCCTTAGGTAAATATGAGGGCAAACTTCAGTGAGTCTCTGTCAGATTTCACCCAGATTCTGAAAAGCTAGAATTGAATGATGTTTTCTTGCTATTTTTTGCTTTTCTTAGATGTTGTTTGAAACAATAGCTGTATTGTTTCATAGGTGGATTTAGTCTTCTTATATAAGTACAGGACTCTAAAGAGAGGAGTTGATTCATTTCACCTTTCTGTTAACTAAATCTCCTGGTGTACTGCCCTATACGTGTTTCTCCACTAGAATATAAACCCTTTATCTTGTTCCTGCTGTACCTAGGCACCAAAAACTATAGCTAGCATAAAGTAGTTGCTCAATGAATATTTGTTGAATGAGTTAATGAATATCTCAAATGCTTAGTAAATGTCATTATGGCAACCCTAGAAAACCAACACACATGCGAAGAGTTGGAGACCCTACTTGCTATTATTTTGTCTTATTTTAGTCCTCTTTATCATGGTGTTCGTGCATCTTCTCTCCCACTCCAGCTCTATCATAGTGGCTAAGGTTATAGACCCTGGACTCTAAAAGCCATTTTTAAAGACTAATGAAATAACCTGGGGGCTTTGACATTCTGTACATCACCTGTACTTCAAAAATTGAATAAACAACTGATCCCAAAGAGAGAACAAATCTAATTTTTGAAAAATTAAGGTTTTTCTTTAAAAAATGATGATCTGTAAGCAAAAGTTAAAAGGGTCTTTATATTTTATTAGATAAACAGTTTACATGTGTAACTGAGAAAAGGAAAATTAAAATTGGTCAGATCTTCTCTGTCCTCACCACACCCAAGATTCTGCACAGAGGACCTTGTAGAGAAGAGTTCCACAAGGAGGTTGACAATAGGCACAAGGTTGCATTATTGTTTCCCAAAGATTTAAAACTTGTTCTCTTGAATTAAAAAGAAATCCATGAAATAAAAAGTAATTAAAGTAAATGCAGTGTGTGCAAAAGACAGAATACTCGTACCATTTCAGTTCACCTTAGAAAAAGAAATGTAGTGACTTTCTTCATCTCGCTCGATTCTTCTCCCCGCTCTCAAGCAGCAGCTAGGGCACTGCAAGCTCACTGCCTCGGGAAAGGGGCCACAGCTGAAAAACAGAGATCAAGTCTTGGTTTCAAATTTCAAAATACACTCCTGAAACTCCCAGCAGAGATAAGAGGAATTTGGGGGTTTCAAAAATCTAACTTTTAAATACTCAAACCCGGAGTTTATGTAGTAAACTATAGGCTCGGCAAGAATGCACAATGAGGGGGCTGGCTGGTTAGCTCAGACACGGTGTTACAACACCACGGTCAAGGGTTCGGATCCCCATGCTGGCCAGCTGCCATAAAACAAAAAACAAAAGAATGCACAATGATGTAAGGGCCAATTGTCCCCCCACCCTTTTCCCCTTGCAGGGTTGGGGCCAAGTGACAGGAAGCAGTTATGACTCTGCCCAAGGATGAGATTTCTAACATCAGTGTCGTTTGGGGGACAGAGACTACTTGTTAAGACAGTTATAAAGAGTTTAGTCAGGTCAGCAGATACCAAACCTGAATGTCCATGAGAGTCACATGGCAGACTTTTAAAAAATTCAGGTATCAGGGTCCCAAAGCTGGAGATTCTTAGTGCATAAATGTGGGTGGGGGAGCATGGCCAGCTGTTTGTTTTTGTCTTGTTTTGTCTAGTTTTATGTTTTAGGTTCTTCTAAATTGTGATGATCCACAAAATTTGAGACAAACGAGCTTAGTGAATTGAGTTAGATCAGTGGTTCTCAACCAGAGGTGGTTTTTATCTTCCAGGGGACATGTGGCAATGTCTGGCATCCAGAAAGTAGAAGTTAGTGATGCTGCTAAACATCCTATAATGCATAGGACAGATCCTACAACAAAGAATTAACCAGGCCTTACATGTTGATAGTGCAGTATTTCTCTTCCTTCCACAGGCAAGAAAGTGGAGCTGGGTGCGTGGCAATGTCTGGCATCCAGAAAGTAGAAGTTAGTGATGCTGCTAAACATCCTATAATGCACAGGACAGACCCTACAACAAAGAATTAACCAGGCCTTACATGTTGATAGTGTACAAGATGTGGTAGCCCTGGGCTAGATCATCTTTATAATGTTCATTCTAACCCTGAGAGTCTAGAATTCAAACAGTTAGCATGATCCTCTGTGTGTGTGTGTGTGTGTGTGTGTGTGTGTGTGTGCAGACAACCCACCTTTGGGGTTGGGGGATGGAGAAGTTTGTGTTTATATACTTTGATCCATGTGCTACAAGTATATGCCTTTTCCATGAGGCTCCTGTCTAGCTCTGACCTTCACTCATGGCCCTACTATATCTAAAGTTAAGTAAATCATAAGTAGGCTTTACAAGTGTTACCAGCACAGATTTATAGCTAGGTAGAAACAAAATGTTAGACATGAAGTACTTAAAACAGAGTTGAGATTTTAAAATTCCCACCTGGAATGAATGAATTGGTATGTCCGTTTGCTTGTGCTTATTTCCTCAGTGCTGGTAAAATTGTTGGGGTGATGAAAGGTACATTCTTGGGGTGCTCCCTTCTCCCTGCCCCCCCGCCTTATGAAACCAGGAGCTTAATGTTCTTCCTCCATCTGCCCTTCAGCAAAATCAGCACCCTGGAAAGGGCCTGAAAAACATATTTACATCATGGAACTGATTATGCTTCCAGGACAGAAAGCTTTGTGCCCTTGTGGGGGAATGGAGAAGTGGCTTCTAACATCTGTTGAATGGAGGCATCTCGGAGTAATAGAATGAGCATCTGCATGGATCACATGCCAAAGTTTAAATCCCAACTCAGTCACTCACCAGTTGTGGGTTGTGAGAAAGCCACTTAAGCTCACTGGTGCTCAGCATCCTTCTTGGTAATTAAGGATAATGATATCTAGATTGCAGTGTCATAAGGGTTAGAAAATATCTGTGAAATGTCTGGTACATGGTAAACTCTAAGAGGACAGAACTTGTGCCTATCTGTCTTCATTCATGTCTAATGTCAGCACTAGAATAGCCCCTGATCCACCTAGGAGCCCAGAAAATATCTACTGAACTAATAGAATAAATGACATGGTAGCCATTGTTACTAAAGGTCTGCTCTATGGCAAGCTGGCCTGCAGTATTTCTCTTCCTTCCACAGGCAAGAAAGTGGAGCTGGGTTTATGAGCCTGGTTTCCTTAAATCACTAACCCTCCATTCTTTCTAATCATTCCAGGGGAAAGA